AGAGAGAGAGAGAGAGAGAGAGAGAGAGAGAGAGAGAGAGAAAAGAAAAAAGGCACAGAAGAGACTACAACAGTTAAGTGCATATACTGCACAGGCAGCGAACAGGTTTGGTTCCTAGCATCCCACAACTACCTGGGATGCAGCTCCAGGGGATCTGATGCCCTTTTCTGGTCTCCTGAGGGCAATGCACTCACATGCACATACACACAGATACATTTACACAATTAATTAAAAATAAACATAAAAACTGAAAACAAATACTTAAAAAAAAAAAAGAACATACAGATTTAAAACAGAAGGTTGACCCATGGAGGCAAAACACAAAGAAATAAAATTCCTGACTGATGGTTAAAAAAAAAAAAAGTACAACTGAGAACAAGTGATAGAAGTAGAGTAGGCAGGAGGGGAAGAGAAGAAACAGAGTAGGCCTAATATTTTCTCCTACAGGAGAAAATATTAAAATTAACCAAATGCTTTACAAAACTTTGCTTCACTAAATTAAAAAACCTGTTCTTTTTCTTGTATTTGTTCTTGTTGAGTAAAACATGAATTGTAAGAACAAAAACATCCCTTAAATTACAGAAATGTATTGAAGAAGTCAATTCAACCTCAATTAGGGTAAGGCCATACTAGGAGGAGTTAAAATAGTTCACAATGTCATGTATCTTAAGTCTAACCAACAAACCAACTTCTATCTGAATGCATATAGGGATCAGACCCCTTAAGGACTGCCCTTCTTTTTTGTGTGTGTATTTATTTGGTTTGGTTTGGTTTTTCAAGACAGAGTTTCTCTGTATAGCCCTGACTGTCCTAGAACTCACTCTATAGACCAGTTTGGCCTCAAACTCACAGAGATCACTTGTCTCTGCCTCCCAAGTTCTAAGATTACAGGTGTGCATCACCAACTCCTGGCTTTGACTTCATTTGTTAACTACACAAATGTGTTTTTTCTTTTGCATTGCCTCCCTCAATATACTAAAAGGGAAGGGTAAGAAGGTAGTATCATACCAAGAGACTAAAAACTAGTTTGAAATTTAACTTGAACTTTAAAGATTAGAACATTCTACTATCCATGTCTTCTGGGATGTTAAGATTACTGGAAGGAGAAAAAAGAGAACACCAACAACTGAGAGCAACAACGAAACACTGGACAAGAAGAATGCCATGCTGAAAAGAGCACAAGTTATTCTTTTTTCCCTTCCTAATTTGATGAGGCAGGGTCTTTTTCAGTCTAGACTGGCCTCCAGCTAACTACAAAGCTGAAGATGACTTTAAATTCCTGATTCTCCTGCCTCTGTTTCCCAAGTCCTAAGATTATTGGCATGTGTTACCATATCTAGCTTCAGAAATTGTTGTTGATTCTGGAAAATATAAAGTAGAACAGCAAGTAGATTAAAGTTCTATTTACAAAGATACAATTTTTTTTCCTTCGAGATAGAGTTTCGCTGCTCTGGCTGTCCTACTAGCACTCGCTCTGTAGACCAGGCTGGCCTTGAACTCAGAGATCTAAATGCCTCTACCTCCCAAGTGCTGGACTAAATGTGTGCACCACCACAAATGGCTCAATTTTTATTTTAACACCCCAAGTATGATTATCAAATCTTCAGTGCTAAAATCCTATTCAAAAGAATGTCTTGAGTAGACAAAAACAGAACATCCAAGGAAAGAGTGCATTGTAGGGGAAATGTTAGCCACACCCTCTTGGGGGCTGTCACAGGTGACGAAGACCATGCACACTAGGATATGGTCAGAGACCTTCATATGTAAGGTCTTGCCTTACATATGAAGGTCTCACGCAGGTGGCTCTCTCTGTTCCATGGTTCGCCTGGTTTAGAGGACTGACTGGTTACATGAGTACTTTCCTATTAAAACATCTGTTCGTCAAACTTGGTCTGACTCATTTGAGGTATGCATTATTTGCACCCCACTTTTGTGCATCATTATAAAGAAACAATTCACACTCTTTAGTGATTATTCAATGAAAGTCAATTTCTGCGGATATGGGGGCATCAACATCCCAATGAATGGTTCCTGTTTCTCCTCCTATTCATGTGACTTCTGTACCCACAGATAAAACTGATCAGAAGTAGATTATCAACTACTACAGTCATGGAAAGCAACTCAAATACCATGCACCAAGTGGATGGGTTCACAAAGATAATGAATGTCTAGAAATAACTGTAGAAACGACCATAATTCTTCTCACTCATTCCTACAATTGTCTTCTTTCAAGTTGTGCAAAGCCATAAGGGGGCTGGGGTTGCTTCCTCAAACCCTCCTTTCTTCAGCTGTTTACCATCCTTCAAATATTTCTATGAGTCAATGAGCAATCCAGTCCATGTGCAGACATCCAATACACTACTTCTGGCGTTGAGAGACTTCCTGAAAGAATAACCCTGGTCTGTTGGTCTCTATGAGGACATGCCGAACAAAACTAGTAATGTCACTGATATTCAAAGATGATACGGAAGCCAATCATGCTGCTTTCAAGGTAAGATCCCTTAAAAAAAAGAAAAGTTAAAAATCAACCAGATTAAAAACCCCAAATTCTTAACACAGTACAAATTCTCAAACAAAATGGAATTTTAGCTAAAACTGAAAAATAAATAGTATCAATAAGAAATTTTAGTTTTTCATTTCAACTTTAAAATACAGTCTTCTAAAAAGGTATCATAGGGCATATAACAACAATATTGCAACTAATCAATAATGTTTGAATAAAAAGCACTAGCTAAAGTTACATGGACATTCTAATGACTGACTTTTCCATTTTTGCCTCTCCCGGGTTCACTAAATGACTCAGTGATTCAGAATCTTTCACTAAAAAACCATTCAGGAAGGAGCCTGACATTAAGACTAACATGTAAATTGGATAAAATAAAACATTTCTTTTTCTATTTCATGAGTGTTTGCCTGTGTGCCACGGGTGTGCCTGGCACCTGTGGAGATCAGAACAGGGCACTGTGCATCAGAGACACTGGAAATGGAGTTGAGAGTTGTGAGCTGCCACATGGGTGCTGGGAATTGAACCCAGGTTCTTTTAACATCTGAACCATCTCGACAGCCCCTTAATAAGAATTTCAATATCGATTTCAACTCAAAGTTTCCAAGTTAGCTTCTAAACTATTTATAAATGGGACACAAGCTGGGAGGCAAAATGTATTGTCACTTCTACAGAGGACATCTCAAAATGAATGATGTTAAAATAGTAGCAGCTCATGCCACCTCTTTACTGGTGTACAACAAAGCCTTCCTTAAATGAATGACATGACATATGTCACCATGAAAATGATCTTTAACACAGAATACTATACCTTCATAGGGTATGTCCAGTCTGGCTGCTAGCCGGGCCTGTGGCCCATGCTTCATTTTAAAGGGATGTCTTCTTGGTTCTTGGAGAGCAGTCAGGCGATGTGCAATCTCTATCTGCACACTGACTAACATTCAAAAGCTGTTGATCAAGTGTGGACAAGAGTACGTATATAGGTTTTGGGAGAATATGGTTTTCCTTTACTGTGCTGGATTTTGTTTGTTAGGCTCTCACTTAATGCCACATTTCTGATTTTATTCCAAGTTCGGACCAAATCAACCTAAATTTTACATTTTGTTCTACTGTTTAAAAAGAGAAAGAGGGAAAGAACCTGGTCAGAAGAGGACTCCTGACCTTTTCTAATTGAGTGTTCTCTATTGCTCAATACAAGCGGAAAAGGTGGGGTCAGAATTCCATCCGAGGGCAGCTAACCTGAGGACAACTTCAGTAACACCCACACCACTGGAGATTGCCACAATGATTTCCACAAAGTAAGTGCTTAAGAAGAGAAGCCAGTAAACTGTGATGTGTCACTCGGTGTTGTTTTATTTAGCAGTATTCTAACACTAAAGTAGGATGTACAAGCCATTGTCCTGGTAAATCATTATCCTAGAACCCAACAGCCACCAAGATCAACATCTTTACTCAGCTGTGAGGCAAAACTGAGTTTCTCCACCCTCATCTTTAGCTAGCCCTGCAATGCAATGAGCACCTTTTTATCACCCTCTTCCACCCAGAAAACTCAGAAATACTTCTGCAGTGTAGTCATTCCTTTTTTTTTTTTTTTTGCTACCCTGAACTTTTTAAGGATTATAATAATAATATTGATGAAATTTTGTGTTTGTATATAGGTCAGAAGATTACTTTTGGGAGTTGGTATTCTCCTTCCACAACGAGTCCCGGGAATTGAACTCAGGTCAACAGTCTTGTTCACAAGCACCATTTTACCTGTTGAGCCATCTTTGAAATTTTTAAAAGAACGTCTTTAGGGTTGGAATGGGGATGTGACAGATCAGTCCTTTGGCATGCATGAGGCTCTGATCCCTAGCACCACAATAGATAAATAAATAATAAATAAATTTAAAAGAGTGTCTATTTCATTTATTATTTAATGTGCATGGTTGCTTACATGCATGTGTGTATGTGTGCCACATGTATGCCTGTTGCCATGGAGGGCAGAAAAAAAACATTGCTCTCCTGGAGCTGGAGTTACGATGGATGGGTATAGGCTACCAAGTAGGTGCTGAGAAGCAAATTCAAGCCAGAGCGTAAATGCTTTTAATCACTGAGCCACTTCTCCCACCACCCCTAGCCCTAGTCACGAGCATCTTTTATAACTGCAAAAATAACGCGACTTTTTAGATTGTTTAAATTATAAGATAAAACTCCTAGGCTGAACAGATGAGTTCAGTGGGGTTTTTTTGTTTGTTTGTTTGTTTGTTTGTTTGTTTTATTTTCCCTTTGGTTTTTCAAGACAGGGTTTCTCTGTGTAGCTTTGGAGTCTATCCTGGCACTTGCTCTAGAGACCAGGCTGGCCTCGAACTCACAGAGATCTGCTTGCCTCTGCCTCCCGAGTGCTGGGATTAAAGGTGTGCGCTACCAACACCCGGCTGAGATGGGTTCAGTGTTATGCAACCATGAGTTCTCATCCCTCAGCACCACATAAAAATCCCTGACATGTGGGATCACTGGGGCTTGTTAGTCAATAACCCAGTTCCAGGTTCAATGAGAGAACCTGTCTCCAGGGAACAAGGCAGACAGTGATAGAGAAGGCCACCTGACATCTTTCTTTGGCCTCTGTGCACTGGCAAACTGACCCCTGCCCTTTTGCCACACAAATAAGCAAACTCGGCAGAGAAGCTTGGCTGACCTGGGAGCCAGACTACCTATTCTATTTATTATGCACATCAAAATCTTGGGTAAGCTTTGCTGTGCATCCATTTCCTCCTTTGAAAAATAGGGCAATAACTACCTTCAGCAAAAGATTATTGAGACACAAATAAATGAACATGTAAAGGGGATAGGGACAGTGGCAGACACATTTTAAGCACTGCATAAATATTACTTTTATTATTTTTCGGCACTAAGTTTCTACAATGTTTCCTAAGTGTACACAAAGTTTGCCCAAATAATATATTATCTATGGTTCAAGATTTATTTAATGTTTTCCCATGATAACTAGTATTTACTCTATAGGTGCATACAAGCCAACTCTGTATAGACATACCAGATGCTAAGGCAATTCTTAAAATAGTGCTGTATAAGTAAATAAATAAATAAATAAATAGTGCTGTATAAATAGGTACAGCCTTTAAAAAAAATGTACTTAAAGTAAAGAAGAAAACTACATGAAACACTAATATAACAACATAAGGCCATTAGAACCAAACACCAAATGGTACCGTGTAAACACTTGACAAAGAGTAGTGGGATTCAATTACAGAGAGGTAAGGCTGGAGTAGCCCATTCACAAGGGCAGGAAGGACCTAAAGGAAAGGAAACAGATACATTTGTTGCAATGTTTATTCTACAAATGCATTTCCTGGCCGGGTTCAGTTCTAGGCCCTGGAGATAAGCAACAACTCATAGCAAAACTAGCTTGTCTGTGGGCTAAAGGGCACCCATATCAGAGACCAGTTTTCCATTGAGTTTTGGCAATGGTAGGGATAGGACCCAGGGTTGCAAGCATACGAGGCAAATTTTTACATTGAGCTGCATCTCCAGCCTAGATGCTAAGTTTGTTTGTTTGTTATTTGTTGTTTGCTTTTCAAGACAGGGTTTCTCTACATTGCTTTGGAGCCTGTCCTGGAATTCTCTGTAAACCAGGCTGGCCTCAAACTCACAGAGATCTGCCTGCCTCTGCCTCCCGAGTGCTGGCATTAAAGGCCTAGAATGAGACAGGCCTAGCTTCCTGTCATGTCTGGGATGACTTAAAAGACAGAAGCTGTGACTGTGCTACAGTCACCACAACTTCACAAGTGTGATAAATGTATACAAATGGCTGACTTGAATACTTTAGTAATTTCTCATGCATTGTATTGTATCATGAATCTATTCAATTGTGTATACTTTAAGGGAACAGTCTCCATATTTTTTGATATAAATGACAAGAGAGATTTACAAATCCATTGTCACTATTACTGGGGTAGATTTTGCTCATATTTCCAATTTTGCCCACAGGAAAGCCTTGCCCGTGTAGCTGTCTGTTTGGGGGATTCCTTATCACTAACATGTCTCCCCGCTTTCATTCTTTCATCTGCCAATGGCTGGCCCCCAAACCTCAAAGATTGCAAAGCGCTTGAAGAGGCACCTATGTGGTAGTAAGAATAATTCACACAAAGAAGTATTCCCTCAAAAGACAACTTACCTCCCTCCCCCAAGACAACATCCTCAAGTAAAGAAACCCTTTGGTAAACACCAACTAACAAAGCTTTCCCAACTTTTATTTCTTCCCAATGGAATTTTCTGATAAGTTCCCATATGCTAATTACCCTCAAGCTTCCAACCACTTCCCTCAGTCTAATTGTCCCAGCCATTTCTATCTTATGATCCAAGACTATCTACCGCCGCCCTCACAAATCAGTTTCTTGAACTGTTATGGCTACATAAATCATTACATTGTGTCTTTATAAATATATTCTAATCTTATATTGGACATAATACTGAATATGTGCTTTAAGATACTTAAATCCGAATTAAAAAGTTAGGCATATAAAACTTTTTGTCATGGTACTCACTCTATAGACCAGGCTGGCCTGAACTCAGAAATCCGCCTGTGTCTGCTTCCCCAGTGGTGGGATTAAGGGTGTGCACCATCACCGCCTGGCTGGGCACGTAAAACTTTTACAACTACACACAATACAGAAAATCTAACATTCTAAATATTCAAATGCTCAGTGAAACCCTGACCTCCTAGCCAAGTGTTAGCAGTATACACTTCTGATCCCAGCACTCAGGAGGCAGAGGCAAGTCAGGTCTCTTGAGTTCAGGGCTACCCTGGTCTACATAGATCCAGGCTAGCCAGGGATACATAGTGAGACTCTATCTAAAAAGAAAAAGAAACAGACACTTCAGAAAAATCTGACAGCCTACTCACTGTTTGTTTTCATAGTTTGGTGTTGAAAAAAAAAAAATCATGCCACACATTTGCCCTTAGTTAGGAACTTTACTAAGAAATACAAAGAATGACCCTTTGAGTAAGGGTCACTATGGCTGTTGGTACCTTTGCCTGATGCACACCGTAGCGTGTTCATTTTCTGGCCATATTATGTAATGGGCACTTGGATAAGTAAGAACTACAAGGCTCTGTAAACTATTTAATACCCAACGGGATTAACTGCAATTCTATGAACTTTTAAAAACACACTAACTTGGATTGCTTTATGTAATCAACACCCTTATTTTCACAGAAGAAATAATTATTTAACGTAGACATTCTATATAGTGATGCATTCAAATCAAACTCATGTGTTGAAAAACTGTGAACATTCTATACTTATGCAAAAAGTTACCCTTGAAAATGAACTGATATAAAACATCTATGAACATCTGGCACTGTCCTGACAAACTCGTAGTACAGTTTATAATTTTCTAACTTTAAACTCAAATTAAATGGCTAAAAATTATATACATGATTGTTCATATACGTAAGTGCACATATACTGGTACTACAAAAAAAAAGTGCTGGCATGTTACAGTATTTAGGGGGAGGTGAGTTTGTATAAAGGCAAGACAACTTGCTGAAAGTTACAGCATTAATTATTTGATCTTATCTGTGCATCCCAATTCAACAGAACCGCTACAGTGCGAGCACGAATTATAACGAGAAGTCAGTTGATCCTGGAGAACTTGCCCAGCTGGAATAGTTAAGCCCTTAAGCACGTGGACAATGCGCCGCTTTATTTGCATGGCCAGGACTAACCTGGCGACTGATCGGTTTAATGGCGAAGCTGCAATCACACATACACCCATCACCTGCCTCACGCTGGAAAATGTTATCGTTCGAGTGGCTACGCAGAGTTCTTTTTTTCTTTTTTTCCCCTCAATTTGAAGAATACCCTAGCCATTCAAGCAAAGAGTGAGCGGGCACCCGGGCCACTTCCAGTTTTAAGAGCACTCCAATCGCCTTGGCCTCGCAGCGGGGAA